AAAAAAAAAAAAAAAAACCAAAGAAAAAAAGCAGGTGATTTAAAGTTACGTTAAAATAGTAGTAAATGAAACACAACTTGCTTTTGAAAAGCTGCTGTGGGTGCAGGGAAGAAAAGCTTTTCTGGGTGATGCTTCTGGCGAAGGTGGGAGGGCAGCTGGGGACCCACAGGGGTTGGAGCTGAGACCCCAACCCACATTGCTCCCAAACACCACCAGGGAGGCTGGTGGGCTCCCAGATACTGTGGCGTGGAGTCCTCTGTGTCAGCACTTCAGGACAAACTCAGTTCCCACTGTCATTCTTGGGTCCGTTGTTGTCTCTGCATTTCCTCCCCCATCCCTTCCCAGGTGGCTGGTCTGGTCCCACTGCTGACCTTTCTCAGGCTTTTCCTCCTCTCTGAGCCTCCTCATCTCCATCCCTCCCTCTATAACTGCTCTTCAAACATCGCCCTTTTCTCTCATCTCTTGTTTCTCAAAAGTTTTAAAAAATCTAATAACTTGCATTAGCATCCTTGGAGCCAAAGGGGTTGAGGTGGCTCCTCCAGTGTCCTCCCTTCTCTCCAGAGAGCCACAGCTTCCCACCGCTGCTGTCCCTTGGCACCAGGCGTGCACAGAGGCTGGCTGTCACACTGCTGTGCTGCCTGCAGCGATGGTGATGGGGACACCCTCACGGTGTGAATAGACTAAATGATTGCATAAACTCCCCGAGCCTTTGGATGTCAAGATCTGGAACTCAGCAACCATCTCCAGAGCTTGAGTTGAGAGTATTGGGATGCTGCTACCACACAAGAGGAAGAAGCAATGAAATCTGGCCATGGAAGGACACTCATCTCCCAGAATTCAGATTTCTCCCAGCTAAGCCCATCTCTTATTTAGCTGAGGTCCAGCTCCAGTGCTGGAGGCTCTTTATCTCCAGCCGGGAGGAGACAGTGGAGAAGAATCTTGCAGTGAGCAGCACTTTGGGAGTTTGTGATAGATGCCGTCTACCTCATTACTGAACAATGAAACTTTATTGTTCCCTCTGTTCTATTGATTTTTATGTCTCCAAAGCATGCTGGCGAACTCTGAAATGAATATCTGTCAGAGGAGGAGGACCGCTGCTGCTGATCTGCATCTTTGAAGTGACTGTCCATGGATCAAGCCCTGGGGCACCTCCAATGCTGTGTCTCTGGGAGGGGAGGGCTTCCCCAGCACCTCCCTGGGGGCTGGGAGTGTGCTGGGGGTTTGTCCTTCCCATATCCAGCTCCTGGCTCCGCACTGGGGCTGAGAGAAAGATGTGCCTGCCCATGGGAGGTACATCTCCCCTACCTATGGGAGGTGGGGAGGGCTCATCCGTAACCTCTCTGCTGGAAAAAGGCAGTATTTTGGCCAATATCCATGAGACTCAGCATGAATCATAGAATCATAGAATAGTTCGGGTTGGAAAGGACCTTTCAAGGTCATCTAGTCCAATCCCCCTGCAGTGAGCAGGGACATCTTCAACTACATCAGGTTGCTCAGAGCCCCATCCAAGGCATGGACCTTCCCAAAGTAGCTTGGCTTGGAGATCAAGGCTCCATCGATAGGGTCTTCACTGTAAACTCCAGCCCGGGGCAGTGCTGAGCCTGGCAGCCCCCCTCTGTGGGCTGAGGACTAGGAGGGGACCCCACATCCCCATCACGTTCTCCCCCAGATGCTCGTGTCCTCAGTGTGTGGCCACCCTGCCAGCAACGCTCGATTCAATATATGTATTATTTGTTTTGTGTTTGTATATAGCCCTCAAGTGGGGAAGCATTTGCCCTGCGGTCTACGTATATATCTGGGAACTTCACAATTAGTTAATATTTTATGCATAATTCATAAAATTATACTACATTTTCTGGGAATAATTAGCTGACTCGGTACCTCTAATGAACTGCAGGTTCAGTGATGACAAATACATCGGGCGACTCCAAGGGATGGCAACACGCAGGCGCCTTTAAGCAAAGTTCAAGCAGCTCCTAAATTAACCAAAGCGAATCCCCGAAGATGCAGTATTTATGCACTGAAGCAAGAAGGGAGGGCTCTCATCTCACAAGTCTCATCAGCCATCACAGCCCAAGAAGCGTGAGAGAGAAAATAAGAGTTATTTACCTTTTGCTAATTGGAAGCCGGGCGGCTCAGGTGAGATTTTCCTCCTTTTCCTTTATTGGGGTTATTGCCTGGAGGTGTGGAAACCCCGGGATGAAAATGGATGTAATTGGTACCGAGATTTTAAGGCTTGAATTGCAAACTTCGCTTAAAAATCTGGTCTGAATTGGAGGAAAACTGAATCTGTTTGAGCTGTTCTGGTTCTTAAAATAAGAAGGGAGCAATTTGGTCAAAATGCTTATTTCCACAGCGTCTCTCCTGCCTCCGTGGGTGCGGGGCTGCCCTCGCCCAGGGGGCTCAGCCCCAGCACAAACCCCCTTTTGGGGGATGCCCACAGAGGCAAAGCCAGCTCTGGTTTGGGTTACACACCCAATTAAACCCAGAGCAGCCACCCCAAGGCAGGAGAGCATCTTCCCCTGCCCTGCTCAGCCTGGCTGCTCCATCAGCCCTACGTCCAGGTGCCACGATGCCAGGTGCCACGATGCCAGGTGCCAGCAGTATCTCCAGGGCACACACCTCTCCTCCCAGCTGCCTCCCGCTCACAGGTGTGGGCAAAAACAAGCTCCTCGCTGAAGATGACCCCACAAACCTGGAGATCTAATACACTGCTACCAGCAGCCTAAAATATTGAATTTTCCCTCGACAGCGTGCTGCCCGAATGAGGAGGGAAGGCGAGCCCGTCCCGCGGCAGGCGGCCACGCTGCCAGGACACACGTATCCACCACTGGGAATTGACTTTAAATGGAGGGCTGCAAACTGGTAAGTATATTAACTTCACGTGCCTCTCTGACATTTCTGAAAAAAAATTAGATTTTGGACTCTGTCGTAGGTCCAAAGGAAGACCCGGAGCAAAGCTGCGCGTGTCAGGGGGTGAGCACATTAAGGCAGATGTTGGTGACACCTGTCTGGTTGAGTTTAGGCTGACAAAATTCAGCAGAAAGACCTCAGCGGAGGGAAGAGGATGCTCGGGAGAAGCAGGGCTGGCAGGGCCCTCCTCAGAAGCATACCTCATTTTTTTTAATTAGGTTATAACTCAATTACAAATGCAAGGGTCTCCATTCCTGACAAGTTTTCCATAATCTTAATTTGATCTCATGTCAGAAGGGTACCTTCCCCTGATAACCAAGCCCAGCTAAGAGTTTAACTAGAATAATAGCTGATTAAAAGGGGTTAATAGATACACCTCAAACAGAAGTAAATTAACGGGAGACGCTGTCTGTTGGCTAATGGGATCAGAACAGTATTTGTTTAGTTTATGAATGATTAATCTCCCTCTCTCGGCATTCCTCAGATGCTAATTGCACTTAGGGAGCCCGTGTTTGTTTTTACAAGAGTTGGAGGTGGCAGAGGGAAGGTGATGGTTGGCCCAAAGGGGAGACCACTGGCCCCGTGTAATGGGCTCTTGGCACGGCCGGGGGGGAATACCGGTAAAACCACACTAAACCAGACCTGACCCCAGACGCGTGAAACTCTTGAATTAAAGATATTATTGAAGTCATTTGGGGTATTTCATTAGAAAAATTGTAAAGTGCACAAGCACACTGAGTGCCAAGACTGGTCTTGCCCCCCTGCCCGCACAGCGGGGGAACTTCACACCACAAAACCACTGGGATTTTTCTGTGGAAACACTCCAGAGCGATCAGAGAAAAGCCAAAAGAAAGGCCAAAGCGGGGGGAAACCGCTTCTCATGGCAACTTTTGCATTTGACAATTCAAAGCAGGGGAGCAGGAGCATTTGTCAGAGGCGCTGGGAGGGAAGCGGTAATTGCCTGGAAGCAGCCACAGATGGGGGGCTCACTCCAGCTGCCGCTGCAGCGCTGCGAGGGAACCACATCAGTTTCCTCTCTACACACTTGTCAGCATTTTAATCCTCCATTATCTTCGTACGTAACAACACAAATGTGCTACCTCAGCCATACTGTGAATTTACTAGCAAACAAACCATTTTCAACAACAACAACAAAAAAAGGTTTTTCATCCCAAGCTTTGCAAGAATGAAGCATTTTCTAAATAAAGCCCTGCCAACCTGGGGCCCTGATTCAGCCAGGAACCAAGGCACGTGCCACCAAAGCCAGCTGGCACCACCCAGCTCAAACTTCTGGCGTGTTTGCAAAGGGCTTGTTGAATTTGGAGCCAGGAGGAGATGTTTTGGAAGGCAGGTACCCATCCCAAGCACAGCATCCTTGCCATGATGGGTCACATTGTCTTTGAAGCTATGGCAGTAGTTTGTAGAAATGAAGGTACCCGGGCTCACCAACTTACTGAGGCCGGTTCTTTGCTCAGTTTAGTTATAAATGTCCCAGGTGATGGTGGGGTATGACTTTATGGATGATTAGGGCTCAATGATGAGAAGATTTTTGTGGTAGGGAAGACTGGGGTGCTCAGCCTGTGGTCATGATCTTCTGGTCCTTGACTTCACCAAGGGATGGGAGTTTGAAAGACATGAGGAACATGGGGAAGACCAAGCCAACACCACTTCTGCACAAGACCTTTTTTTGAAAGTTTGGGATGAACTGAAATGATCTGAGGGGAATCTCATTTTAATCTCAAAATTCTGCTGTTACCAAAATTGCATGCTAAGAAACGGGATGCTCTTTTACTATTCTCCATAAATAACATTACTTTGTACTGTTCCCAGGTATTTCATTCATCACTGTATCATATAGAAAGCCTGAGCTGAATAAAACCTTCCGAAAGAAGATGAGGAGACGCTCTCTGCCTTATAGATTATTTTACAGTTACTGAAGCCATTTGTTTTCTCTGCCTGCATCCCACAAACGTGGAATATAAACCATATACCAGGAGGCGTGACTTCTACTTTTTGCCAAACAGCATTGAAATAAATTTCTTATTAAGGGAGTCACCTAGAAATATTGGGTTTAATAACAAATTACTGGGTTATTGCCTTTTCAGCTTGGCGGTGCTAGCGGCACTCTCCCAGGCTGGGGGAAGCTCCAGCAAAGCAGGTTTTGGCCAAGGTCTGATGGGGGGCCCAGAGCAGGGACAGGGTGTGGGGACAAAGCCCTGAGAGCCTTTGCAAAGCCTGGGTGGGGGGTCCAGGTGTTGTTTGTTGCTGGAATATGGGAGCAGATGGGAAGTGGAGAAACACCAGAGCATTTATTGAACACCCCAATGTATCACCAGAGCATTTATTCGTGGCAAAACTGCTGGCCACGGTGTTTATAAACCCAATGAGATGCTTATGAGCTCGTGAAGGATGCACGGACACAGCTTCCAGCCTACTCATCCCTGCACCTTCAGATCCACAGGGATTATTGCCTGCCTCTGCCCTGCACAGGGATGTGGACCTTGTGCCTGGAGTTCTGAGAGGTACAAACAAACGCGGGTGCAGGTACGGTGTGATTGTACAAAAAGCACAAGAGATTGTACTGAAAGCTTCTCTAAAAACTATTGAACTCACCCAAAGGCAATGCTGGAAGGTGGTGGCGGGTCTTGTGTGCGGTGGCTGAGCTTTGGGACCCCGTGGATGGTGACCAGGAGGAAGGGGGGGTGATGGATGCTTCTCACAAGGGGCTGGTTGAGCGAGCAGTGCCCTCCAGCCCTTCTCCCCCAGGCTGAAGACCCACCTCTGCAGCCAAAACAGCCTTTGGAACAGCCCAGAGCAGCAGTTTGAAAATATTCCAGCTTTTGCAGGTGCTTACAGCTGCAGGTAGATGCCTGGTGAGATTTTCAGAAGTGCCTGGGCATGTAAAGCACCTCATTCCCAGTCCAAATGCCACCAGGTGTCTGCCTGCATCATTAAGCACTTAATTGCCTCTGAAACCCGGCTCCCGGGAGCGGGGCTGGTGCTGGTGCCCGGGGTTGTGCCGAGTTGTTTGCCCCATGGCACAGCTCCTGGGGGACACCGGAGCCCTCAGCTCCATCCCCACACACCCACCGTGCCTGGCAGGATTCTCCTGCCTCAGTTTCTTTCTAGGGTTCTTTACTGTGAAGGGTTCTTTACTGTGAGGGTGGTGGAGCACTGGAACAGGTTGCCCAGGGAGGTGATTGAGGCCCCATCCCTGGAGATATTCAAGGTGAGGCTCGATGAGGCCCTGGGCAACCTGGTCTAGTTGGGGGTGTCCCTGCTGACTGCGGGGGGGTCGGACTAGATGGCCTTTGGAGGTCCCTTCCGGCCTGGGCAATTCTATGATTCTATTCTATGATTTTCCTCATCCAGCAGCTAAATTATCCTCACGCCTTTGGGAAGCCCTTTGAGATCCTCCCCTGTTGAGCCGCGTTGCAGAGAGGTGCTACCAAAGGGCTGATTATTTCAGTTATTGCTAAAAAAAACCCCAAACAGCAGCTAAATTATCCTCACGCCTTTGGGAAGCCCTTTGAGATCCTCCCCTGTTGAGCCGCGTTGCAGAGAGGTGCTACCAAAGGGCTGATTATTTCAGTTATTGCTAAAAAAAACCCAAAACCAACCTTTACCTGCAAACCTAGATCACAGCATGGCACCGACTCCAAAGAACTGGGAGCAGGGCTGAAAACACGTCCTGGCAGGAGCTGCCCTTTGGCTGTCCCTGCTTCTGACTTGTCCTTGCACAGGGGGGCTGCGAGGCAAGGAAGTTTGTGCTCCTCGTGCAGTGACGAATGCCCTGGCCAGGTAACAAATTCCAGGCTGGAATGTGCCTCCTCAGCAGCCCGACTACGTGTGATTGCAGTGGGCATTGCATTAATTTGTGAAACGTCGTTTTTAAATTGGTTTTACAGTTCACTGGGAGTGTGAGGCTGCAGCCTCCGCAGCGAGCGCCGCTCGCACGGGACCGGAGGAAATAATACTTAGAATAATACTAGAAACTGGTCTCTGGTGCTGACCCCACCATGACTGGGCCTGGCAGTGAGGGGCAGGGACCACGTCGGGTGTGAGTGAATAAATACACCCAGCCTGTGAGCACAGAGCACGCTGTGTGCAGTCATGAAAAAATGCACAAATGCAGGCAACTTGGTGGCTGAAAATCACTCCTGCTGAACCCTTTGCTCCCGTTGCCTGAGTTTCACTCGTAGGCAATGCTGCAAGGTGGGACTTGGTTCCTGAAACTGCCAGGCAGGAGCCATGCCCAGGGTAGAAATGGTGATTAAGGGATGCTGAGATGCTGTGCCAGGGGCTGGTCCCCAGTACCTGCTCTCAGACCAACTCGGAGGCTCAGGGGGGGCTGGGAGCTGCAGGGGCTGGTCGGAGCTCAAGGAGCTGAACTGAGGTCATGGAAAGTCCTTCTGGCTCCGAGGAGTTAACCACCATCCGTGAGCAACCTATTGTCAAATCACAGAAATGACCCAAATGGCACAAATTCCACCATAGCACTGATGCACGAGCCCTTGGAGACCCCAAATCACTCCTCCCCCCCTCTCTGAAGGAAAAGCCCTTTCCCTCCTGGGCTCTGGTTTGCCCTGGTTAAGTGTTAGTGCACATTTAGCAGCTGCCAGGCTCAGGAACAAGCCCACGGTGGCCGGTGCCATCACCATCCCCTGGACCACGGGGCAACCTGGTCCCCTCCACGTCCTGCTACTGAATCCCAGCAGGTTAAAGTGTGGCCACACGTCAGATGTGCCTGCAGAACCCAAGAGCTTCCCACCCCACAGATCTGCATGTTCATCCTCAGATCTGCTGACTTTAGGGATAAAATATGTCCCTTACTTCCTTTTGCCCCTGTTAGCACAGCACGGCCACCGCAGCAGGGATTGCAGGGCAGGACCTGCCTCCCTTCCCATCACTGTGTCCTCCCGATGGGACGAACTACGGCTCCTCTTCACCCCCAGAGCCCGGGGTGAGCTCAAGCAAGAACAGCAGGGATTGCAGGGCAGGACCTGCCTCCCTTCCCATCACCTTGTCCTCCCAATGGGATGAACTACGGCTCCTCTTCACCCCCAGAGCCCGGGATGAGCTCGAGCAAGAAAAGTGGAAAAATAATCCCAAACAAACAAAAAGAAAGAAACGAAACCCCTACCGGGGTGAGCTCAAGCAAGAAAAGGGGAAAAAAAATCCCAAACAAACAAAAAGAAAGAAACTAAACCCCTTCATTTCTGTCTTCTTTTTTTTTTTTTTTTTTAACCTGGAAAATGAACTTGAGTCTATAAGCCCAGAATCCCACAAGGGCAGTAATGGCAAGTCACTTTTCGGAGTGTAATCACACTTGGAGAGACAAATATCTGCAGCGTGTCTGCATGGGCAGGATTCATGCCCGAGAGCTGCCAGGCTCCTTCAGCCCCTCCGAGCCATCCCAAGGCTTTGAGAGACCTCGGCACAAGTCTGCTGCTTCCCCCTCGGTTGTGCTTTATTTATTTATTAATATTTTTTTTCTCTCAGGCAGACCCTGCTCTCGGGAATCCTTTGCTCTTTATTCTAATACATCTCTTAACAGGCAGGAGGCTGCGCCGATCTCCGTGCGATGTGTCTATCATCTTAGTCCAGGCATTTTAATTTACACTGCAGTAAAAAATTTGGCACCCAACATTTTCTACTTGGAGCCACAACGGAGAGAGGCCGTGCCAAAGGTTTGACTGTGCTCGATTCCCTCTTCCATCTGGGGGGTGCGAGCGTGGAAGAAGGACCCCCTTCCTTTTTCGGAAGGAAGGAAGTTTGGAGAGAAAACCCCCCCAAATCTGGGATGACAGTTTTAAATCACATCAGCCCAGGATCTGCTGGGCAGTACTGTGTCCGTCTGTCTGTCCAGAGGAGCTTTGCAGCAGGCAGGACTACAGACTGTCCTCAAGCATTGACAGAGGCACTTCCACTCTAGAAAACAGGTAGAAAACAGGGGTTGCTTTGCTTGAGGAGGTTGTTCTGTACGAAGGGGCTTCCCAAACCCCTTGGGCAGCCTTGGGAGGTGGGTTGGGGAGACCTGCCCAGGCGGGAGGAGGTTCTGGAGGTCTTGGGGGGTTTTTTCCTGCCTCCCCCTGTGCGGGTGAGCGAGTCAAGCAGCTGAGGGGACTCCTCTGCTGCTGCAATGCAGGGCTGAGTGCAGGTTGCAGAAAACGAAGGACACACAGACACTGCAGAACCCGGCCCGGAGGATGGAGGGGGGGATCAGAGCCCTGCCCAGCACCGTGTTGGCTTCCCCCTCTGCCTCCCTTTGGCTGCCCCCAGTTTAAGCCAAAGCCACCCATGAAGAAGCCCGGCCAGCGAAGGGCACCGCGGGCACTGTCGCATTCGGGAGGTGAAGGGGCAGGAGAGCACCCAGGGCTGATTAGCACTGTCCTACACTGCTTACCTAATGCTTTGGCAAGAAGCTGGAGCCAATTCATCACTGTTTATCCCCAAAACAGCTCTTGCCTTTGCCAGATAAGGTCTGGGGAGAGTCACCTCCCCTCCCTCCTGGGGCCGTTCCTGCTTTGCTTTTCAGGGAGGTAGCGCTAATTCAGCTGGGCACGGGGAAAATGCACCGGTAGGAACACACTGATCCAAAACTTTTAAAAAAACTCCAGAAAAGAGAAAAAAAAAAAAAGGTGTAAAGCAGTTTTCTTTCTCCTTCCTCTTGCTTATTTGTCACCCACACTGTTTTCAATATAAAACAAAGAGAGGACAAAAAGAAACAAGACACCACTGGAAGCAGGGAGACCTACTTCTTTTATGCCTTTCTTTTCTTTCTTCCCCATTTCTTTTATGCCTTTGAATTGTTCCCGTGAATTAGGATAATTTTGTTTTGTTTTGGACACAAATTGTCCAAAATCAGAATGGGCAAAACATCAAAAAGAACTTCTTGAATCAAAATTCCCAAGTAAAAGGCTGGTTTTCCTGCTTCTCTTCCCTTCCCTTAGTCCTGGTTCTGGCTGATACCCAGTGGTTTCATTTACTCCTGTGTTTTTACTGAGCAAACCCCC